GTTTTTTAACCTAAGTCACTCCACGGAATCGCTAAAACATAGAGCATAGTCTGATGAAAAAGACGCTAAAGTCTATGAAAACAAAATTTTATCGTCAAAATGCTTATGTTTTTATGAAGAGAATAGACTAAATTTTTTTTTAATTATTTTTTAAAATTTTTCCATCTTTTTAGAATATTCTAAATTTTGATTTAAAAAAACCTTGTTTCTCTTTGTCGCAACAAGGGGTAGTAAATAACATAGATAATTTTAGCGCGTTTTTTTTGTATTTACACATTAATTTGGAAAATCTTGCAAAAATAAAAATAATTGTCAGATGTTAATGAAACTTTCAGAAACTATTCAGATGAATTATTATAAATGTTTTTTTTATTAAAAGTCATGGCAGAAATATTTTTTTTATATTTATTAACACCCCCATAACTAATTTTATGAAAAACTCTAGAAATTCGAGACCATCGGTTTTAGTGATTACAATAGTTAAAAAGCACAAGGCTTTGAAGAATGCAAATCATGTATTTTTTTTTTTTTTTTTTTTTTTTTTTGGCCAACGTACCTGAAAATCAGCTGTGAACTGTAACATACAAAACTCAATAAAACAAATATATTATTTAGTTTCAAATGCTTTTATTTGTTTTAATTTGTTTTTTATGAATATGGACAATATTTTCTGGAAGCAAAAAACTTTTCAATAAAAATTGAATTTTTTAATACAATTATTTCTTATTTCTTTAATTTTAAAAAGATTTTTAAAAAATGTTTAAATTGAATTTTAAAAAATATTTTAACATTAGTTAAATGCAACATCAACCTTTCAAAATGTCCGTGTGAGATTGTCATTGTCTAGCGCTTTGAAAATTGTATAATTTGGACCAATCAGATTAGCCATGGTAGTTAAGAAATGTAATTATTGTGTTTATAGTCGGACAGTAATTATCAAGTACGGAAGACCAACCAAAATACAATTTAGCTGCATTATTTGAGTTCAGCATTGTTCTCCGCTGTTAAGCCCTTTACTTTTGCGAAACACGTATGGAGAAGTTAATTTGAGTTTTCAATTTCAACTGAGAAGGGTACCTACAAGTAACAGTATCATCTTATGAAATTTAACTACTGCTAAACTTTAATTTATATGATCTTATTTTTATATTAATCTCAGTTATGACATTTATCCATAAATGAAATATCAAAATTAATAATAAAATGAATGGAAATACAAATAACACAGTAAAATGTAATAAATGTACATAAAATTATAGTATTTATGTACACTTCTGATAAAATTTCATAAGAAAGGTACCTAAATTAATTAGATACCTTTTTCTTATGAAATTTAATCTCACTATGAACAGTCTTATTTTTTAATTTCTTTATATTTTCCATAAAGCATCGTAAACGTAAAATTTAAAGCTAAGTACAAAAAAATAAAAATAAAAAATAAAAAATTAGAGCGCTGAAAGTTTTCCTTAAAAGTAACAAGGTAAATAATTTGTTCACTTAAATAATTTCACTTCCTTCCATCCGTAGAAAGAATTACCCTCCCGTAAGTTATCTAAACGTCATGAATGTGCCTTTCGTCAATCGTCAAGCGACGCGAAAGGTTATGACCTGCTTTGTTTTATTTTCAAATTACATTTTTTCGGCGCAGAAGCTAAGTTAAGCTTGGCTCAAAATATTTTAAATAAACAGTATAATACCTGTTTTTATTAAAATCAGTTTTGAAAAAATGATAATTGATTTTTAAAAGAATATCAAAGTAAGATTTTAATCTTTTTTATCAAATCGAAAAAAATGATTGAAAATGATTATCTGTCCTTTTTTTTTACCAAAAAATAACAATATTTTTAACGAAAATTTCAGACGTGCTAGGAACGATTAAAAAATACCCCAAAAATACTTTGATCTTCCCTCTTTAATAATAATATGGACATTAGACGATAAAATTTTGTTTTCGTCAAGTTCGGCGTCTTTTTCATCATGCTATGCTCTTTTGTTTACATTTTCGTGGGTGAGTTGTCCCCCTTTCATTTTCACGATGTGTCTTAATCGTGTTTTCAAATTGATTTTCTTAAAAAACAACTGTGTTTTTCCCATTTTCGGCGCCGTTAGAACCACCAAAAGGCAATTTCATATAGTCCTGTGAAGTTTTGTTGAAATCGGCTAAAAAATGTAGGAAATTCGATCCAACATATAAACGTTACAGACACACACACACACACACACACAACCTGCGTTTTATAATAAGTAAGATATATATATATATATATATTCTGTTGTATGGATATGAGTTTATGACCTTGGCTTTCACGCTTTTTTTAGCGAAAAACCCCGAAACCCAAGGTCACAAACCCATATCCATACAACTGAATATGTTAGCTCTACCACTAATATTGAGCGCTTTCCACTAAGTACTGCACATATAAAATAATATATATATATATATATGTATGTATGTATATATCTTTCTCTCGCTCTCTCTATCTCTATCTCTCTATAGTAATATTTGCCTTTTCCCTACAATGAAACATTTGGCATTCAGTGACCGAACATCCAGATCCAGTAGACTTTTCATTTGGAATTTGTAAAATCTTCCTCTTAAAACTATTTTTCAGAAAATATATTTCTCAAGTCCAGTAACTGTTATTGTTATTTCCAATGTTAAAGGGAGGTTTCCTTCCTAACCTTTTATTTGAAGTAATGTGGAAGGTCAACATCTTAATTATTTATTCTTCGAGTTATACTGTCTATATAGTTGTTGCTGCTATTCGTAATCCACAAGTGATGTAATTTCTGCAATCTGGTACAGTTTTGGTTGTGATTCTGAGCCTATTCTATGTTCACTTGCCTTTTCTTCAAAACTAAAATTTTTATAACTGATCCATACATCGAGGTATTTTATATTTACTAATACCACATCCTGAATTTTTATGATTGATTAAGGGCAGATGCCATCACTACTTTTATTCCAATTGCAGATCATAGTTTCCGTTTTGGAATCGTTTATCTTGAGTCCTCTTTCTTGAAATATTTGCTGTGTATTTGTTTGTTTGTGCATATATATATATATATATATATATATATATATATATATATATATATATATATATATATAAGGAAAAAATTAACACACCATCGAAGAATTCGGTAATAAATTTATTTCGACAGATAACACTACAGGCTACAGTGGTAATATTTCTGGTGGACCTCTAGCAAGCCGCCAGTGGTAACTTTGCCAAGACGAATACACCAGCAGCCTGACAACGGGCGACCAGCGGTACTGGGATGACACCCAGTGGCAAATAGGTGGCTTGCATGTAGGGAAGATTTTAATATCTGCCTCATCAGACCGAAATTACAAAATGGTTTAATTTATCTAGACATTATATTAAAAATTATTTTAAAATTAAATCACAAGAGACCAAGAAGTAAATGTCTAAATTACTTGACCTAGAAAAATTTTACATTACATTATTGACAAGAAGAGTAAGGGAAAGAAAAAGGAGAAGCAAGGTGTCAGCACAATGAGCAAGGGTAGGAGGGGGGAGTAGAAGGGACAGCTAGTGAAATATACTAATTTAATACCGAATTCTTAGATGATATGGTTTTTTTTCTTGATGTATATCATATTGCTCTCCATATAAATACATTGAGCTCTTATCATGGATCTATCTTTTAAATATTTCATATTAAAATGACCTACTTGGATGATCCTTACCACTTACGTTTTAATATATTATATATATATATATATATATATATATATATATATATATATATATATATATATATATATATATATATATATATATATATATATATATATATATATATATATATATATATATAGGCGGTGGAATGTTTATCTACTAATACGACAGATTTCATTATTCACACGTTAATATTATTTTAATGACACTCTTCCCTGAGGAATTACAGGTTTGTGTCCTGCCGGAGAGTGTATATTATTCTCTAATAAGACTTCTCGAATATTCAGGCAGGTAGACGAAAAAATAAATAAATATACTGTTTAATAAATAAACGTTCCATCTACGAGTATCTCCTAAAAATAATATTTAATATATATATATATATATATATATATATTTTCATTGAAGGTAAGTAACTAAAACCATTTCTTCTATTCGTGGACGTGAGTGTATGTGCGCCCACTTTCGCTTGGTTTTCTTAATTCCAACACAATTTATTTAATGACGCAGATTTTGAATAGAAGCCAAAATATCAGCGAACCATAACGCATAACGTCCACTATCATAATTTGATTATTTATTTCATATGAAATTGCCTTTCATTTTTCTTGATATACGATTTGTTTTTCTCCTAAAATCATTTTGGTCAATTCTCCATCAAAATTGGCAGCATCCATGCATCAGTTACTTTGATTATAAAGTTTTATTTTTCTTCGTTTCCTTAAAAACACCACAAGAGCTCTTCACTTTTCAAAGATAAAAACAGTTTATGGAGAAAATGTACATACAGGTCAACAGCTTTTCACAATCTGATTAGTGTTTTGTGTGTGCATGCTTTCTTAGAAACTTTCTTACAACTAATTCGAAAAAAGACATTTGAAAAGGAATTGGTGTCTTGTAGTGTATGTCTATCGAAAAAATGTGTTTCTCGCCATTTATCTAATAAGATAAGATCAAGAACGCTAATAAGAAACGTTTTGCTGCGCATTTCTTTTAATAACTTCCTCATGATGAGTGAAAAAAACGCATAAGTTTTTTTCTTTTTAATTTGACAGCAAAGAAAAAAAAAGAAAGTAAAATGATAAATTTGAAAGAATATGAAGGTCGCATGAACGAGAAAAGAGAATTAGTAATTTAAAAAAAGTAATAAAACAAAAACGTCCGTAATGCTGACTAGAAACGCTATAAAGACGCCGTGTCAAGCAACACGCCTATCTATGAAATCAATGACAGTCATAGCATTAAACGTAATAACGACAATAACAACGAAAACAATGGCGACATAAAATGCCAATGACAGTCTCCAACTCATGCACGCCTCGTAATGAATCGGTGAAAGTCGTTATAATTCGGTATAATTGCCTCTTCGGTTCAGAATAATAAGTTCGCACCAGTTCCGTTTATGTGTGGGATGTGAACGTCAGCTGACAGTTATGGCCATATAGTCTTTCTTTCACTGGCGCTGTGCATACGAGCTGTCTCTTTTCGGCCGATCGATAACTTGGATGAGAAAAATAATAAGAACAGATACACAAAAATAATAATAAATATGTGACTCTTTTACTGAGTTCAGAATAATAATAAGACGTTTTTATTCGCTTGCTGGTTTTTAATTACTAATGTAGTATTAAGATTCTTCTTTTTACTTTACTCTCTCGTTTCATTCACCTCTGTTTTTAATGTCAGCTTTTTTTATGGATGAACTTTACATATTTTTTTGTAAATTTTGAACTTTATTTTATTGATTTTTTCTTGTATGTTTTTGTGTTCACCTTAAATGATCGTCGCATTACTTCCAACTTGTCTCGCCATCAGATTTCTAGCTCTGTCTTTTCTTTTCCCTCTCTTGTTTTCTTTATATCAATAAATACATACATACATACATATATATATATATATATATATATATATATATATATATATATATATATATCTCTCTCTCCCTCTCTCCTGTTTTAAATATATATCTCTCTCTCTCTTGTTTTCCATATCTCTCTCTTATTGTTTTCAGTGTCTCTTTCTCTCTCTCTCTCTCTCTCTCTCTCTCTCTCTTGTTTTCCATATTACTCTCTCGCTCTCTCTCTCTTGCTTTTCATATCTCTCTGGCTCTTGTTTTCAGTGTCTCTTTCTCTCTCTCTCTTGTTTTCCATATTACTCTCTCTCTCTTTCTCTCTCTCTTGTTTTCCATATTACTCTCTCTCTCTCTCTTTCTCTCTCTCTCTCTCTCTTGTTTTCCATATTACTCTCTCTCTCTCTCTTGCTTTTCATATATCTCTCGCTCTTGTTTTCAGTGTCTCTCTCTCTCTTGTTTTCCATATTACTCTCTCTCTCTCTCTCTTTCTCTCTCTCTCTTGTTTTCCATATTACACTCTCTCTATTTCTCTTTCTCTCTCTCTCCTCTCTTGTTTTTCATATTACTCTCTCTCTCTCTCTCTTGCTTTTCATATCTCTCTCGCTCTTGTTTTCAGTGTCTCCTTCTCTCTCTCTCTTGTTTTCCATATTACTCTCTCTCTTTCTCTCTCTCTCTCTCTTGTTTTCCATATCTCTCTCGCTCTTGTTTTCCTTCTCTCCTTTTCGACGCTTTTTGTTCGTTTGAATTCCTTGTTGCATCTTTTTTGGTAAGTACAGTACGGTACAGTAGGACATAAAACCAAAATGCTGAATGTAAGGACAATATAGAAAACTTGTTTCAATTCTTCTGACTCAATTTATTATTTCTCTAAATGATTTCATTTGCATTCTTTCTTTGCTGAAATTAAAATTTAACCACAATCTCTTTTTAAAAATTCTCATTTTTTCCTTATCTATTTCTATGATCACTCTCTACTTCTTCTCCTTCTCTCTCTCTCTCACTCTCTCACTCTCTCTTTCTCTATCTTGCTTCTTGATTTTTACCCCCTTGCGTTTGTCTCTCTCGTCTTTTTCCTCTCCTTCTCTATCGTCCATCATTTTTTTCATTCCCTTTTCTCGCTTCCTCTCTCCTTTTTCTTTCATCTCACTCCGCTATTTACTTTGCATAAATTCTTCTGCTTGTCTATTTATACCGAAGTGGGGGAAAATGCCTGCCTAGAAAATCAGCTTTCAAAATTCTAATTTTTTACGTGGTCTCCAACATCAACGACTTGTGTTGTGTGAAATACATAACTACTTCAACCTCACACTAGACAAACTTTCTGTCTCTCTGAAATCATTTTACCATTTTTGTCATTGTCTGTAAATGAGGTACTGCCATAAAAGCAGTACACCACAGCGAATGTCAGTCAAGCTACCATTTGTTGACCTGGCAGAACAACCCAGTCTGTACATGACTCTAGGACGACTCAGTCTGGACATGCTTGAGATTGGCCCGGATAGGCGTGGACTGTTGTAGTGAGAGTGTATATGCACTTTTACTGTAGCTATTTCATATTCTTGCTTTTTTTACGTTTACTTTGCTAATTTCTTTTTTTATTTTCTTTTACTTCATTTTTTCTTTTCTGTAAACTTAGTATTTAGTTTAATTCTTCTTTTGTATTTGGTTTTTTAATTTGTATTTTATTTTTGTGTTATTTTGTTTGCCTTTCTTCCTTAAGCAAAACTTTATTTGAAAGTTTTATTTGTACGTTTTGATTTTGTGTTATTTTGCCTAATTTTTCTATCATCTAGTTTCTTTAGCACATGTGATTGTCTTTCGATTTATTTGTTTTTGGTTGTGGCCCCAGCCAAACTGGCTGAGTTGTCTCAGCAGATGGATCAATCATCAGCATGTGCGGCAGGCCCCAAAAAAGGAAGCCTGAATATTACATAGCGGTACGTGAAATGTGCCAGGAATATATGAACTACCATTCCGTCGGTTTGGGAGACGATTGCGAAAAGGACAATTTTGCTGTTACCATCAGATGTAAATAGCAGGAAGTTGATGGATGTCAGCATGGAAGGAATGGAAGAAGCATACAATTGCCTGAACATTATAGTGACGGTGTTGGCAAGGAGGTCAAACGCAATGTGGTACATTTTGTTGACATCAGATGAGGACATCACTAACGGGAAGCACCCTCACACCTAGTCAGTGAGGACGCAAACTGAATATATGGGCAGCCGAGGGACCAAGATCACTTTACATGGGGTGCTCAAGGAGGTAGAGGAGGACCATGTGGGAGCCTTCTTCACGGAATATGGGCAGGTGGAGGCTTTGTCAGTAAGGATTAAAACGGGCATTGCCTCTGGGGATATAATCCTGCAGGTGACAATGTCCCGTAAGTGTTTTTAGAGAAACCCGACACTGTGACGTGTCGGGGTCGGATGATCTTCATCGTTGTGGAGGGTCGTCGACCCCACTTCTCGTAAGGACAGTAGCCTCCCTTATTCTCCAGATAGGGCTCTGATAATCCCTCGCCTTCCTCATTCAATCCCAAAAGAAAAATCCTTTCCCCAAGGAAGAGGACATCTGTTTGTTGGATAAGAAGGTACTTGAGAGGAACCTCTCCTTTTAGAAGGTCCTCTTGAGACTCCTGTTTAATTTAACATCTGTAGAGGTCGAATCGAATGGCGATTCCAGCAACTTTGATAATACGCCTGGTAAGAATTGCAGGCACAAAAGCCTGGGACTTCATTGCCGCAGCCAAGGACTCCTTCCCGAAGCTCCGGATGACTCAGGTGGAGTGTCTGTAGCTTGAAAATTAGCTAAAACTTGTTCAGGGAGGGGCCCAGTTTTGATTTACTCCTCGTTATACAGGGATCTGAAATTGACCTTTCCTACGGACGTCGGTGGTACTGTCACCGTCGAATGATTAAGTTCGACATGAGCACTCCTAGTGCAATCTGTCAGGGTCCTGACTCATGCTGATTTCCGTCTAGTCTGCGTTTAAGGTAACACGCTTAGAAAATTTTTATCAAGCTAGCCAGCTTGAATGCGAGGAACTTGAGAGATCGAATTAGGGCCGCCTGCCCTATTTGTGATTTTCTGTCCTTTAGTGTAAATGCGGCCGCGATCCAGGAGACGCATATTTTTGTGTTTCCTTGCTTGTTAAACGTGCCCTTGGTGCGAAGGTGGACCTTGTCTATGTTGATGCGGGTTTGTTTCGGTTGACCGTGACCCATATTGTGAGCAGTAATTTGTTTCGGATCGTTACGGTTTATACACGTCTCCTTTTCTCATCGATTAGGACCGTTCCTGGTGGATTCGTCACGCTTAGTTTAAATGGGGGACCGGAATGCCGTTCTTGGCCCCAAATTAGACCGGGAGCATGGAGACAGCGGAAGGTCTGGCGATCATAATTTGGTTGATATGATCGGCTAATTTGGTCTCATCGATAGATATCGGGTCGATCATCAAGAGGTGGGGATGTGGTCGTGGGCTCATTAGTGGCCGTCTACCTGGATATAATGTTAGTGAGAAGGGTCGATCTAGATTTGCTTGATTGTCCCACGTTCCACTGATTAGGCTATTCGGACCATAGACTTGTCTGAGCCCGGATGGCATTAGTTGCAAGGCCTAGAATGGGTGGACACTGGAAGCTCAATCTGTCTTTACTGCAATGGCGGAATTTCCGGTAACAGCTAACTAGATTAGTGCAACGGGAATTAGTAGGGGCGGTTATTGGGAATAAGTGGTTGGAGAGGCATAAGGATAACATTAGGTCTTTCACCACCGAATATAGCCAACGACTCGCACTAGATAAGGCAAAAAATGTGAAGACTCTCAAGGACAGTCTGTCTCGGGCTAGCGGGGTTTCCCTAGAGATAGGTTTAGCCAAACAGGTTCTAGAGTGTGCGGATAGCGAGCGCTACCGTGGTCAGGGAATTAGATATAGGTTAAACAAGGTCTAACGAAACTGTGAATATGGGTGCAAAATTGCGCAAGAAAGAGCTCCGTCAATAAATTTGAGAACTCAATAACCCGAAGAAGCAAATTCTGAGGTCACCCAAAGACATATGCGAGGTGTTACGGCGGCATTTCGAGAACCAGTCTACCAAAGAGCCATGTGTATGTAGCGAAGACTTTTCCAGCTATTTTGCTGACTTTCCTTTGGCATTGAAGTGGGTCGGCAGCGGGAAATCTCCGACACTTGATGGTTAGCCCTGCGCATTGTACTTTAGGCCGATTTTGACTGGTTCTGGCAGGCGTCCGTTCCCGAACTGATCTCCAGGGGTGTGATCATGCTGTTGAAAAAGAGCAAAGGTTGTGGGTGGAATTTAGATGATTACCGGCTCATAACACAGAGTTAAAGATTTTGGCCAAGATCTTGACGGAACATTTGCAGTCAGTTGCCGAGATTTTGTTGGGACCCAATATGAATTGTCCTATGCATGGACGAACAATTTGGAGCAACCTGCATCTGATCCGCTTGATCCTTGATGGTGTTAAAAACGACGATCAAGCTGCTCTGATCAAATTGGATCAGTTCAAGGCGTTCGATAAGGTAGACCGTCAGTACTTGGCTGCTGTCCTGCAGGCCTCCGTATTCGAACCCAACTTCTGCAAGTGGGGCAGCTTCCTGTATCGCTCCCCAGTGCTGTAGTGTGGTTTGGGCCCGGGCTCCAACTGAAGCAGAGATGGTCGAAAGTACAGGCAAAGGTTAGAGCAGTGGTACGGACTTGGTTCCGATGGCGGTTGTCCGTCAAGGGTAAGGCTGAGACGTGTTCTACTTACGTCTTTCGTCTAATCCTTTCCCGGTTGTCTGTACTCCCTCTCTGCAAGGACCGTTCGAGGGTGAGGGTGGTCGCAAGCGTCATGTCTGCAGAGAGGGTGTTGCCCAACGTCCGTGTCATGGGGGGATGCTGGGAATGCCGCACTTGATGAACCACCGGAACGCATCGAGGTTGGCTTTCCTATGCCGTGCATTGACAGAGGACTTGATCCTGGAGAGTAGTGTTAGGGACGACTTCGGAACGTACTATAGTCTCTCAGTGATATAGTCTTCAGAGGGGGGCTGAGCGGATTTTATATAAACCTTGGTTTAGGGAAAACGGTTTCTCACGCCTTTTACCATTGTCCTCAGGTGCGCCTGTTCTGGAACTATGTTGGCGATTTGACGGCTCGTATCGACCCAGAACATCTGGGGTCCATCAATCACGCAAATGTGTGCGATAACGCCGGTCGACATTTTTTCGACCCAAATGTTATTGGGCAATGGGCATGTTTCTGGGCTATTTTTTCACGCTGAATCTGTAAATCAAGTTCATTTTTTTCATCACATAAAGTTTTTCTCAGTACAAATAATTTCTATTTTTCTTAAAATTGGCCAAAATACCCATTTAACAGTGATATGACAGGGCCAAGTGGAATCAACCTTAAACGTTTTCAGGTATTGTAACCTGAAAACGTTTAACGTTGGTTCCACTTGGCCCTGTCATATCATTGTTAAATAGTTATTTGGGCCAATTTATCGTAAAAGAAAAAGTATCCCAATAACTTAAAGAATGCATTTTCAGCAATTCAGTTCAGAAAAAGTTTTCACAAAAATCTCACACAAAATTAAATTAAGGCAAACATGTGTCATCAATTTTTGGGATCAAAACAGACAGATAATATACAAAGGAATGAAAAATACATTAATTTTTGTCCATTCAAAGGTATAAACCTTCTTTTCTTGGAAACTCTACGGTGTTTTTGAAAAGGTTGATCTCTTTTGATGTT